ATGATGACGAACTGGGGACATGTATCAATCAGACAGTCAGGACTTGTCAACAGGATTTCAGGATTACATACCTGAGTAAATCATTTTTCTTTCAACATAAAATTATTCATTCAATTCATTTATATTACTGTTATTATTACAAATAATAAAATAGTAAAAACAAAACCATTGCTTGTTCTTTCGCTGGTAACCAAATTCTGCCTCTTTTAGCTCCTGTAAAGGCAAAGGAGCAGGACCAGTCAGACAGAAATAGGGAGGAACTGTTTTACTGAACGCCTGAATACGGCATGGCCTGCTTCAACCGCAAGTTGTCCGGGTTCTGGACATATCAATCAGGCACACTTAGGAATCAAGTAAAACATTTAGGCTAAATATTCACTAACTAAGAATGAAGTTGTTTCTGTTATGATTATTTATTTATCGTTATATATTTTTTATGTTCAGATGTGATAATAAATGTCAAAAATTTTTATGGAAGTTTTTCTTTACTTTGGCGATTTCTGGAAATATTGAACATCCATTCATTTTGGGCTTGCATATGACACCCATATTTTGTACATATAAGATGTTTGAACAAAAATAAAAATCAAAACACTTTTAGCTCCAACTGACCATCAAATAATTTATACGAAAATTAAGTTGTTTTAGTATTTTTTTAGGATTCATCCATCCTCCACTCTGTGATGGCTTCTGAAAAACGGTGCATAATCGTCTAGGGGATTTTGGCTCAGCGCACTGAGCAAGCGGATTGATGACCGTAAAAGTCAACTGTTTGGTAAATGTTCGGATGAAACTTTAGGTCATTACTAAGTTGAGATTTGTTTGCTGTAATGTCTCGGAGGAAACGCGACAAGACAGCTCCATCAGTGACACAGTAACAAGAAACTGCAAAAAACGGTGTATCTTTGTGCACTGAAGTGTCAAAGAAAATAAACTACAGTCAAATTTAAGTTTTTTCTACACGTTTTGGGCTGTTACTTCATACTTTATGTCTTTAGACTGCGAGTGAGACAGTGGACGATGCTGTCGTTTGAAGCGCATTAAATCTTTGACTCTTTAGAGGTAACATTTTTGTACACTTCAGTGACGCAGTTAATCGTTACAGCCGAATTCTCCTTGGGACTAGCGTTCCGTTAAACTTAGCCACCTGCCCATCATGGTATTGTCGTTATCGACATACCCGCTCGGTAGTCACTCGGGTTACCAAGATCCGCACAAGCTGGCGGACAGGTAGACAGGTTGGTGATGAGAACCTGTTCATCGCCTTTTCGCAGTCGGGGGGGGGGG